AGCATCTATGCGCGTGCTTGCGCCGGCAAACCTACACAAGCAGAATGGGCGGGGCGTCAGAGCCGGCCGGGCGGAGCGGGCGGAGCGGCGTACTTGCGTGAGCATGCGAGGCCGGAGGGGGGGCAGCCCTCGCGCCGCGAGCGAGAGCGCATCGCGTGGCGGGGTGAGGTGAGGGGGCGGCGGGTTCCGTGAGCAATAGGCGTCGCGGGGGTCTAGGTGTGCAGCTTGCGGCGGCCAAGTTCGGGCGCAATGCGGCGCGGCAAGCGCGAGCGGACGAGGAAAGTGCATGCAGTTGCCTTGACGATTTGAGGCGGATTTCTGCGGGGGACGAGAGATTACGCTGATTCCACGCATTTTTTTTTCTTCTCTTTTCAATCAAAAAGAGCGCCTTCAGCACTACTCTATCGAGGTCTCGCGGAGGGCATTTTTTTTATGGGAGTTTGAGGAGTAGACCGTCGCCAACTGTCATGTCGGTAGCGGCTCGAGCACCGCTCGCTGCTGGAGCGCGGTTGATCGCGGCGCCGACGCCGCGGCGGCGCCATCTCGCGCGGCGAGAGACGGCGCTGCATCGGCGCCAAAACAAACGGGAGGTCGCGGCGCGGCCGCGGCAGCAAAAACATCGACGTTCGCTTCTGCTTCTGTTCTCGTCTCGTCTTGTCGCAGGCGCACACGCGCGCGATCCGCGTCGCTCCGCGAGGACACGACCACCGGGATTCGAACCGGCAGCATAAGAGCGCCGGCTCGAACGCCGGCCGACGTGCCACGGAGTCATGCAGATGCTGTACGCTCTGCAAAACCGGCTCATCATATATATGACTGGTTTTGTCCGCGGGCGCGAGGGCACTGCGGAGGAGGGCGGCGGCGGCGGAGGCGGCTGCAGCAGCACACGGGCTGGCGGCGGCGCGCGGACGGTGGCGGCAAAGGGGCGGGTGGCGGCGGCGCGAGGGCGGAGGGGCGGAGGCGGCGTGGGCGGCGGAGGGGCGGGTGGCGGCGGCAGCTGTCGACGTCCCCCTCCGCACGCCCCCTCGTCCAGCGGCAGCGGTGGGCTCTGCGCCCGTGTCAAGAGGTGGAGTCGGCGCGGGAGGCGCGCTCGCCTTGATGCCAAAGCCGGCGGTGGTTTAGGCGTCGGCGATGGTCGGCGACGTTGATCGTCAAGGCGACGAGGTCGGGCAGGAGGAAGGTGCGCGCCAACCGCCGCCGTTGTTCAGTCGAGGGTCTCCTGTGTGTCTGTCGGTGTCTGCGCGCGCTGTGGGTGTCTGTCGTTCGGTGCGTGTCAGAATCACACGGTGCGTATGAGCCCAGCTAACATGTTTTGCGCCGCTTCAGGGGTGAGGGGGCAACGTCTTTGTGTGTGTGCGCGCGCGCCGCTGCAGGAAAGAGTGCGGCCCTCGGGGTACGCCTCGTCCGGCCCCATCCGAGGGGGCTGCCGCCCCTCCTCGCCCCCCCGGGCTGGACCTCGCCCACCGCGGGCTGGGGTGCCGCGCGTTGATCTGCGCCTCGAGCCAGCTGTACTCGGGCCGCGACGGCAGCGCGCCCTCGTGCAGGATCGTGCCCTCCGCCCCGTCGTCGAGGAAGACGAACGCGCACCAGCCGACCCCGTGCTCGCCAACCTACTCCTCGCAGCTTCCGTTTGACGCGGGGCCGCTCTGCCTTCCTCGGCCGGCCCCTTGCCCGCACGCCAGCTTGACATCCTCGCCGCGGCAGGCAAACTCCTCAAAGGCGAAGCTGCACTCGTAGCCCCCCTCTCAAAGACGACGGTGCGGCCTTTTCGGGTGGCTGACATTGGAGAGTCGCTCGGCGCTGTGTCGCAGACCAGCCACTGACCCGAGATAAAAAAGAACGGCCCCACCGAGGGCCCACACTGGACAGTGTTTAGTAAAATAGTTTATGTATGTAAAGAGTGAATGCAGAAGATTGGACAGGGGAGGGACGCGGCCAGAAAGAGGGCGGGCGCCGAGGTTCGAAAGCCGGCGCTTTCGCGCGTTCGAAGGGGCTTTGCACGGAGTTTGTGCGAAATTTGCGGTTGGCCTTCGCCCTGCGGCGAGATGGCACCGCAGGCGGCGTGCGTGCACGAGGGCGGCGGCGTCGAGCGCCGAGCAGCACACCACGAGCGCGAGCGGCAGCGCAGACAACGCGAGGCAGCGGGCGGCACGACCGAGCCGGCGGCGGAGGAGGCGATGGACGTCGAGGCGGTGAGCGCCGCGGACGTGCTGGCCGGCGTGGAGGAGAGCGGCCCGAACTACGCCCTTCCGACGGCGAGGGAGGGCCAGAGGGAGCGGCGGGAGCGGCTGCGGGTGGACGAGACGGCGAAGCAGGCGGGGCACACCATCGTGGAGACGGGAACGCACGTCGAGATCCTGGGCGAGCAGGGCTTGTGGTGGCCGGCCACCATCGCGGGGCGGGAGGAGGACGTGGACGGCCGGCTCGTGCACGAGGTCGAATACGACGGCCACCAGGGCGAGCAGTACTGGCACATGCTTGACGACGAGCAGTGGCGGCGCGCGACCGCGATGCCGACGCCAGCCGACGGCACGAATGTGGCGGCCTCCACCGAGGGCGAGGAGAGCGGCGGCGAGGAGAGCGGCGGCGAGGAGAGCGGCGGCGAGGAGGACGCGGTCGCCGCGGGGACGCGAGCGGGCGCGCATCGCCGCGCGACGGCCGTGCAGCATAGCGAACTGGCCGACCTGCTCGACGGGATGGACGACGAGCGGCAGGAGGAGGCCATGCGGGCGGACGATCAGCCTTTGCTGAGGCCGCACGGGCCGAGCCTGTCGCGGCAGCTGGTGTACGTGAGACGCCGGCTGCGCGACTTTCTCGCCCAGCAGGCGAAGAAGGGCAAGGACGTGGCCATGTCGCGGACCTCGCGCGGCACGCACCCCACCATTCGCTGGACGATCCGCTTCGGCCAGTGGCTGGCGACGACGCGCGTCCGGCCGTTGAGGGCAAGCCGCTGGCACCTTCCCGTCGGGAGTGTCGCGCGAGGGGAGGAGGCGATGGTGCGCACCGGACGCGGCGAGAAGTCTGTGGAGGTCGCCCTCAAACACATGAAGAACCACCTCTGGTGCGAGCTGTGGCCTGCGATGCCAGCGTTATAAAATGAACTCGGGGGCGCGGGACGCGGCACAAACGGGGCACAAACGCCAGGCCATAAAGACGGGGAGGCACGTAGTGACGCAGGGGAGAGTATAGGCGACGGCGGCGTCCTCCGACGCCGCGGCGAGCCTGAGCTCGGTCGCAATCTCTTCCGCCGCCGCGAGCTGCAGCGCGACTGACATGCGCTGGGCCCGCAGCGACAGCCACGACCGTAGGATTAACCTACACCAACATGACCCCATTGCCGCGCTTCCGCTTCCGCACCATCAGACACGGAGCGCTGCAGCACCAGGCACACATCGCGACGACCGCCGCGAGCTGCGCGAGCACGACGACGTGCACGACGGAGGTGCCCCCACGGTGCAGGCTGTCCGTCTGTGCCCAGCCATCGCTGCCGACGCGGCGTGGTCGGTGTCCCCGGAACGCGCGCGAGTACATGTCCCCGCCCTCGTGGCGTGCCCTTCCCGGTGGGGTCGGGCCCGAGGGCCGTGCGTTTCCAACGTTCACGGCGCCCGCGGCAAAGAGCGTTGGCCACAGTGCCTCCATGACCCCTGCCTCCAAGGAAGTGTCTCTCCGGAAGCTGTCAAACTGGATTTTCTGGGGGAGCAGGCCATCAGAGTACGCAAGAGAATGGTACAGCCGCCGATAGAATGCCGCCGGATGCTGCCGGACAGCTGCCCGCGTGAGCCGGAAGTGCGCACAGCACTTGAAGGCAAGCTCATACGGCAACTCGCCCAGCTCGGCTCTCAGGCCCCATGGGTCCCACACGTGCCGTCGTAAGAAAGACGTCCACGACGTGGCGTTCAGAAAGGCAGAGGCATACTTCACGCCGAGCTTGAACGCGCTTGGGGCCTCGCTTGTAGCGAGCGCGATGTCGTCCACTTGCTTGAGGCGCATCTCGGAGACACCGCAATTCAATGCCACGTAACCGGCGTCGCTGCTGGTGACCTCAGCCACGCAGCGTGCTGCTGTGCGTGCGGCTCTCGTCTGCGGCGGAGCGTCTGCTGCTGCGTGCGGCTCCGAGGATCGCGCAGCCACCAGCTCACGTAGGAATGCCTGCTTGTCCTTGAAGCCATCGCCCACTTGGTTGCCGTGTATGAAGTACATTTCCGCCGGCAGCGCATCGTAATGGTCACAAATGTATTTCAGGTAGATGGTCGCTTCATCAGCCTTGTTCGGCACGCTGGCATCCTCGATGGGATTGTTGCCGTCCTCTGATCGCGGCTTGTGCGGCAGCAGTCGTAGACCCTCGTGAAGCAGCGTGAGATTCTCGTTGCTGTACGCGTGAAGAGCAAAGTGCGTCGAGATCACGGGATCGTCTACAATCCATGCCAGTGCCAACCCCTGAGCGCCATGAGCGCTGATAACTAACGCAGGGCATTCTGATGCTGGTTGTGCACATTCCGTGTCAGTTAGGAGGTAGCCATGGCGCACTTGTGATGTGGTGTTGCCCATGGAGCCGTGCGGAGTTAAAAAGAATTTTTGGGGCAGCGAGCATCGGTCATTCGAGAGAACTACAGGTAGTGGGGAAGGCAGCCTCGATCGCCATACAGACATGGGTGCGAAACAACGACAAGACCAAGGCAAGGGCAGAGGAGGAACGAGAGAAGAATATAGGATGGATAAAGCGTCTGTTCACAGCATGGAGGGTGAACCACGCTGAACGTACTGAACGTAGAGCCGAACGGAAGGAAGCCGGGGAAGACGAACCCGAGGAGGACGAAACACCAGTGGTAATCCCGTCGTCAGCTGTCACGATGCACCCAACTCGAGGGGCCAAAATATGCCGCGAGGAGCCCTGACTGAGCATGCTCGAGGACTGTGCCAGAGTTGAGGTAGTTTAGCGCCTTCGGCTTCGCGCCGCGATGGATGTTTGCGATGGATGGAAGCGATGGATGTTTGCTCAGGGCAACAACGCAAGAAGAGACCGGAGCACCGAGCCTCGCAACGGTGAGGGAAAGAGGCGCGGGCGGATGGTGCGAAGTGGAGGTATGGGAGGACGGTGGACAATCCTCTGCGAGCGTCACAAACGAGGAGTGGGGGCCGGAGTCACGCCGAGCCCGGGCAGAAAAGGGGGCGCCACGGAAACTCAAGAGGTTGGTGTGCGGCGGACCGGTGATAAGGGCGGCCCTCATGCAGCGGACCGCCACGACCAGCGAAGGATAGGAGGTTGCGGCTAGCCCATCCAGGTGGGCAGTGCAGTACGCGCCTACCACGCGAGTGCGCGCCGCGGTGCCGCTGGTGAAACTGGCCGTCAAGCACCTTGGACGCAGGCAACCTGGAACTCGTGCCGGACGATCTTCTGGTCGAGAGCGACGAAGAAGAGGAAGAAGAGGAGGATGACGGAGAGGATGCAGAAGGAGAAGTCGCACAGCACCGGGAACTTGGTGATGGCGAGGGTCTGGGGGGGGGGGGGGGGGGAAGGGGCGTTGTGTGTTGTGCTCTTGTGCCCCAGGCAGGGGGGGTCCGCACGTTGGACGCCGAGCACATTTGCGATGGCGATGGCCATGTCGCCCTCGCCCTTGCGCGCGACGACGATGGAGGAGAGCGAGTCGGGGACGGAGGTGCCGGAGGAGAGCACGATGGTGCACATCACGATGCCCGGGATGTTGAGGATGCAGCCGACGCGCGTGGACTGGACGCGGCAACCTGGAACTCGGGCCGGACGATCTTCTGGTCAAGAGCGAGGAGGAGGAGGAAGAAAAGGAAGATGACCGATAGGATTCCGAAGGAGAAGTCCCCCAACCCCCGGAACTTGGTGATTGCCAGGGTCTGGGGGGGGGGGGGGAAAGGGCCTTTGTTTTTGTTCCTTTTTGCCCCCGGCAGGGGGGGTCCCCCCCTTGGACCCCCAGCCCCTTTTCCAAGGGGATGG